AAAAAAAAAAAAAAGAAAAGAAAAAATAATACTTAGTTTTATATGGAATCAGAAAAAAACTTAAATAGCCAAGACATTACTCAAAAATAAAAATAAAGCAGGAGGAATTACACTACTAGACCTCAGACTATACTATAAATCAATAGCAAAACAGCATAGTACGGCACAAAAACAGAGAGGTAGATATATGGAACAGAATAGAGAACCAAGAGATGAACCCAGCTACTGACCGTTGTTTGATCTTTGACAAGCCAATTAAAAACATTCAGTGGGGAAAAGATTCCCTATTTAACAAATGGTGCTGGGTGAACTGGCTGGTGACCTGTAGAAGACTGAAACTGGACCCACACCTTTCACCATTAACTAAGATAGACTCTCACTGGATTAAAGATTTAAAATTAAGACATGAAACTAGAAAAATACTAGAAGAAAGTGCAGGGAAAACTCTTGAAGAAATAGGCCTGGGAGAATATTTTAGGAGGAGGACCCCCTGGGCAACTGAAGCAGCATCAAAAATACACTCCTGGGACCTGATGAAACTAAAAAGCTTCTGCACAGCCAAGAATACAGTAAGTAAAGCAAGCAGACAGCGCTCAGAATGGGAGGAGATATTTGCAGATTATGTCTCTGACAAAGGTTTAATAACCAGAATTCACAGACAACTCAAACATATTAGCAGGAAAAGAACAAGTGATCCCATCTCAGGGTGGGCAAGGGACTTGAAGAGAAACTTCTCGGAAGAAGACAGGTGCATGGCCTACAGACATATGAAAAAATGCTCATCATCCTTAATCATCAGGGAAATGCAAATCAAAACTACTTTGAGATATCATCCAATTCCAGTAAGATTAGCCCATATCACAAAATCCCAAAACCAGAGATGCTGGCGTGGATGTGGAGAAAAGGGAACATTCCTACACTGCTGTTGGGAATGCAAACTAATATGTTCCTTTTGGAAAGATATTTGGAGAACACTTAGAGATGTAAAAACAGACCTGCCACTTGATCCTACAATTCCTCTACTAGGTATATATCCAGAAGACCAAAAATCACATTATAACAAAGATAGTTGTACCAGAATGTTTATTGCAGCCCAATTCATAATTGCTAAGTCAGGGAAGAAGCCCAAGCGCCCATCGACCCATGAATGGATCAATAAATTGTGGTATATGTACACCATGGAATATTAGGCAGCCTTAAAGAAAGATGGAGACTTTACCTCCTTCATGTTTACATGGATGGAGCTGGAACATATTCTTCTTAGCAAAGTATCTCAAGAATGG